GGTGGAGGGGGGGGGGAGGGCAGTCACAATATTGTGAAGCCATAATCTGAAAAGCATCATAAATGAACTGAACAAAAGCATACTTTCAATAGAAATATGCAATTCATATTACACAAATAGCACAATACTTGCATATTCTTAAATTTATATACGTTTTGGTCAACAATATGTCATACAAAGGAAGACTTGAATACGTCCAAGAATAAAATAAACAGAAATGCAACAATGCTAGGAATTTTCGCACAATACCTTTCTTTAGTTAAGAAAAATACATTACGGCGTGTGGCTTTGGTTTGTGCCATTGGCATAAATCTCTACTTCTCTGTGAATGCGCTACCAAGGTTGGTCTCCTTTCCTTTATTTCATCAACAAGCGTTTTCAATGTCAAAAAAGGCATATTCTGACTTCGGACTAAGGTATCCCGCTAACTTTAACGAAAAAAGAAAAAAACAACATGATTTCCCTAGTACTGTTCACATTACATTTTCTTAATGTTTGCTACGTACTACAGAATAATCACTTTATTAACATGTCTAATTAACCTCTTTGAGTTATGGGACACAGTCTTGCTGATTTGCTTCCGTCCACTCTTATGCATTGAAGTTTGCATTTGTGTTTGCCTCGTGTACATATGGATAGACGTATTTGATTGGTCCTTTAGTGGTTTTTACTCCTTGAAATGGTCAATGTGCCATGCCTTTTCGGGGGGCCGAGTTTCTACCTTGTAATATTCTTACGCGGCCCACGCCGGTTTCGACGTTTGGAAAAAAAATACCATTGACGGTTTTTTTTCCCTTTCAAACCCTCACCCTGAGCGCGTGAGTGTGTATTTGGCGGCTCGTGTCTCGTGTTTGGGGATACCCAGTCTCGCGCATGTCTCTGTGTGCGGTGCCCAGAACTCGTGTGTAGCATAACACATTTCGTGGTTTCAGAGTGATACGTTTGTGTATGTGCATAGTCTTTGTGTAAAAACTTATGTTATCGAATATTATGGAGATGACCTGTTTGTTTAATCTTTATTCCCTACGGTCAATAGAATTCGCGCAAATAATTTTCATGTTTTGCTGTGTCCATGAGTTTCTCAGCTCTAGTGCAATAGCATGTGTGAGAAATTGACCTGGCGCCAAGTGCTGTGTGAATGAGTGTTGTACTCAAAAGGGAAAAAGCTCTGCGGGAGGGTGGGGGCGTGTTGGAGGGGAGAGGGGTGGAAACTTGTAAAACAGTGTTCATCTGTTGCCCTGCTGGGGTAGGGTTGAGGGGGCGAGGAGTAGAGGGAAGAAGGCACGTAGCTGCAGAAGTGGGGAAGCTCAGAACATCATGCTCGTGCGACACACTTCCTGTTTCTGCCCCTCCCCATCCCAATTCAGGAAGTCGACGGCTGTGAGCTTGGGGGCCTGGTCAAGAGGTAAGCGACATTCTTTGAGGTGACGACCGATGGACTTAAGCATTTCTGGATCCTTGCTGTAGGTGATGTATGTTTGGTAGTCCGGGTCGGCGTACATCAGGTAGTTGTGCAGAACGCCCGGCCAGTAACCCATACAGCAGAGGTAGGTCAGGACTGCCTTGTCCTTCCCAGAGATTTCGAAATTGGCCGACTTGAGCTCGCAGTAGTCAGTGTCGTTTGATCTCTGCTCCATCTGTAAGATACAGAACTTCTCACTCTCCTTTATTGGTGGAGATGTCGGAGCAGTGGACGCTGTCCACGAGAACATCATCACCACTGCCATTACCTGAAACACACAGATGATAAAGTGTTAAAGTTAAAGGTATGGCAAGAATGATATATTACGGCACGGGTTTAATGCCTCTTCTAATATGGTAAGAATGATATTTTACGCTAAGGGTTTAATACTTCTTCTAAAAGTTAAAGAGTTATCTAATAGGCGGGACCTCCGAAATAAAAGTCTACCCCCGACAAGAACGAGCTCAGAAGGTGGTGAGCCTTGAAAACGCCTCAAAGTAATCCACATTCACAAACTCAGAGTCAAGGATTCGAACCAAGGCCACCAAATATGATGCCGGCTGGGCTAATTCATTTTTATTAATCAAAAGACGACATGCAGTTGTTCGACATGTAACACTCGAGACAATAACATTTATCTTTTAAATACTCACAGAGAAAGAAACAGTGAAGCAAAATAACTTGATTACAAATGAAAAACTCTATATTATACATAATTCGGACATTTATTTTGTTATCTCTGGTAACAATTGGAGGAAGAAAGCAAGAATAAAATGCTAAATATATTTTGAATTCAAAGAAGCTTTTGCAGCATTGTCCTCTTCCAAAAAGCAGTGCAATATAATAAAATACTTTATCCCAATTTCCAGCGATACAGGGAAGAGATTTGGCTAAAGATGGTGTTCACATGAAGTAGCCTACCAAAAACCTTTAGAAGAACCCGTTGACCTTATGTGTCCTGTTTCTCCAAGGTAATCTAAAATACATCAATCATAAGAATCGTACTAGGTAGGACAAGCATAAAATCCCTTTTTGTTGGAGAGGGGAGCGCTAAACAAATGATCAGTCTTGGGAACATAACATTCCTGGTCGTTTTTCGAATTGACAGTAATCTTTGCACTTATAAACGTGTACGAAAAACCCTCTTCACGTGCATTATTAAGTCGATATACGAGCAAAAGAGTAGATGGTCTGATTTTACTATCGGCGTGAAGAGCTGGCCCCGTGCCCAGCCCTGGGCCGGAGATTAGAGTAATGAGCAGTCCAAACGTTCGGGGCAGTTGATGGTCGAGTTCGTCCGTGAGATGGTAGGGGGAGGGGAGGTGAGGGGCAGGGGATCGGGGACCGGGGACGTTCATACTGTGCCACTCCTAGAGGCTGTGCTGTGCTGATCTCCTTTTGATTTCATTTTACATGTATCGAGCTCAAGCATTTTCCATACTGATAATAATGATAACAACATCAGCAACAAATATAGCGACGACGGCGACGACGACTACGACGACGACGACGACGACGACGAAGAAGAAGAAGAAGAAGAAGAAGAAGAAGGAGAAGAAGAAGAAGAAGAAGAAGAAGAAGGAGGAGGAG